GATTTCTCAGCGATCAAGGATTGTATTTATTTTATTCCACCACTAGCTGTAGAACCTACCATTATTTACTCCTTTTCGAGGCGTAAAGTGTGTTTTTACTACCAAGGTAATTTTCGTCATTTTATGAACCACTAGTCAATAATGACATAGCCTGTTATAATTAACCCGAATTCACTGTTATAATGCGATATTCGCAGAGATGGGACTCGAATCTAGTATAGGTATTTATCAATAACGACTTGACATATGCTGTCATAGCCATGGCTATTATTTTGATTAGAATTGAAGGGAAGTGCATTCATAGTGACAATAGGTCCATATATTCTAGTTTCACGGAACGATAATGATTGAAATGTGGTGAAAAAAAAATTAGTATACACCATGGTAGTAAAGAATATCATTACCACGGGACCTTTTACCCCCCGGCTGAAGCCTCGGGATATGATCTTGGTACCTGTACCCTAACAACACGAGTACGTCCCAGGGACGTCCTTCATTTTCTACGAGGATGTCCCTGGGATATCCTGTGTCGGGACATGGTACATACTAGGGACGTCCCAGGGACATCCGCTTTCCACAAAAAGAGGCATCCTAGGGATGCCCTTCTGGTGCGTCCCTGGGATGTACCAAGTACGAAGAAAGGATATCCCTAGGACGTCCCAAGGATATCCCAGGGCCATCCCTTCGACAAAAGAAAAAAAAATGTAGGTCGAGTACGGATTGAACCCGGGACCTTTGGCTTATCAGGCACGCATCTTACTCCATTGGCTATTGAGCCTCCTGAAGATTTATGTACTCAACAGATTTATAAACAGGACTTAACTACAGAAACCTGAATAAATACAACTTCGTTAGGATTTGGGTATAATTATTATATCATTCTTGGGTGTTTAAAAATGACATTATGCATGTACGATTTCTGTTTGCGAAAAATGGTAATTTCTTAAGAAGTTCTGAAACTCTATTCTTTATTTTCATCACGATTATTTTCCGGAAGAAAAACAAACATTTTCAAAAAAATGCAACTTAATACTTTGATGAAATTCAATGACTCTGATGTGAATGGATATCAGATATTCCAGGGACACGAATAGGATAACCTAGGGATGTACCGGGTGGGATGTCCACTGGACAACCACTGCGCGACATCCCCTGGATGCCCCAATCATGTCCTTGTACCGCGGGACAAAAAAGGGACGTACCTAGGACATCCCTGTATTGTTAGGGTAGGTATTCATCCAATAACGACTTGTCATATGCTATCATGGTCATGGCTAATAACTATTCAAAATAAGTGCTGTCATAGTGTGACAATAGGTCCATATTTCGGTTTCACATAACTGAAATGATTGAATTAAATATAAACCTTGGTAGTAATTACCACGGGACCTTATATACCCCTCGGCTGAATCCTCGGGATATAATCTTGTTCTCTGGTTAATAGTAATATTCTTTACTACCTTGGTGTATAAATAACTATTATATAATTATATAAAAAATATAAAAAATAAACAAAATTGATTCTGTTTTCTGTATGATTATGATTTACGCGAGGTATCAGGATGTATACTTGTGTGTATGTTTTCATGTCGCTTACTATTTTGTTTCTTAGCAGCCCGTTTGTGTATTATACAGGGTGTCCGAAAAGGTCATGTCGTAGCGATGATAGTGAGCCAAAATAATATCAGTACTTCATATAAAAGGAATTGCTACCGCACTTGGTTACAGAGTTATTGACCTTGAAAGTTTGAATAAAAAAGATATATTTCATGTATAACTTTTAAAAGGTTGCCATGGTATCAATGATATTCGGGCAGCTAAATTAACTCATAATAATGCTCCTTTCGAAACGTAAACGGCTATTCAGTGATTATGTTTTATACAGGATGGGACTTTTTTTTTTCGTTAAATGGAGGCATTTTGGACAGAGCTAACAAATTTGACATTTTGCTTTCACCGTTTGATTACTTTTTTTTATCTTAACCAAAATAGTATTACTCATTTAAATCGATATATCTTGAACCATTCTAGAGAAAATCGTATTTTAAAAACATACATCCCAACCATTTCAAAGGTAATAAAAACTCTATTCAATAACATCATGGTAGTTGCAGGTCTGATAGAGTTAGCAAAAATAATGTTAGTACTTCATATAAGAAAATGTCTATCGGAGTAATTGACCTTGAAAGTTTCTGCAAGTCCATATAAACTTTCAAGGTCAATACCTCCGTAACGAAGTGCGATAGACATTTTTCTATCAGCCCTATCATTTAAGACATGACCTTTCCGGACACCCTGTATTAACCACTTCATGTGAATGGATAATCCATGATATTTCATGGTTTTGTTGTTGACTTTTCATATAGGTACCAATGTGAAATGGCTTATTACATGAATAAATATTCTATTCTATATAATAATCTTTAAATATCATGGTTAGTAACTGGATTCCGAGATAGATTGAAAATACAGGTTTCGATCGATATATCGGTCATCAGGACATAGAACATGATTTGCTGATTAGTCTTGATGAACGATGCATTATATTAAAGACATTCGTAGCCAGAAAGGGAGCTCAACCAATTTTTCTCATTTGTGCCAGTTTCGAATTTCCATAAATAATAATATCTCTCTTGCTCTTAATTTGTGATTTTAACTATTTTATCAGGTGATTTTTACCCCGACATATCAATGCTTTCAAACATATTTTTATTAGAGCGCGCCCAAATGGAAAATTCAATCAGAGACACCTTGTTTTAAAAAATGTTCGAAGAAGGAATATGGATAGGTATATTGAAAAAATGTCAAATTTTTACTTTCGGGAACGCCGGAGAATGATATTTTTCATTTATTTCATTTCAGTAAGCTGTAGGGGGCGAAAACATATATTTTTCCCTGAGCGCCAAGAGGTCTTAAACTGGCCCTGCAGTACATATTATATTTAATAGTACATTGGTATTAGGTAGAAAGTAAAATACCTACTTTGCTCCCCATACATTAAATCTACTAAAGGACCTATTTTTTCAATATATCAATTATTTACAGTGTGAAAATCTATGATGGAATGAAATCTGTATATCAGAATCATATTTTAATTCCTTGGACATGGCATTTTATTTAATTTATTTTTCAATTGTACAAGGAGTCTAGTAACACCTCCCTAGAGAGGTATTTTGAATCTATATAAAATGGTCTATTATTTTTAATTTGGAACTGGAAAGATTTTAAATTCATCAGAATATTCATACAAATAAGAGGTGATAATAGATATTCTTCTGTTTTATTGTACATAGGCGTAGACGGACATGTAGTAAAAAAACTGATTTTGAATATAGGTGAATTTACTTAACATGTAATACATGAAACAGTACCTACCATTAGGTACCAAATATTTGGTCAAAATTTCCAATAAATTTTCAATCTATTGAAAGCACCCTAATGGCTCAACTGACTATAAAAAAAATAACAGTGATAGGCATTAGAGATTCAGATTACCTCTTGAACAATAAGGAGTAACTTGATCAATGGCCACTTCTACAAATTTTCATATACAAATATAAATTTTCAACAATAAAAATGGACCTATCAAGGATTTTTCAAACTATATTTTTGTTATAGAGATACTGATTCCATTCCATCATAGGTTTCCAAACTCTATATACTCTGCCTTCCAAGGTTCCAAAAAACTTAGTAGCAAATTGAGAACTGTATTGCTTGTGGCATGGAAGTTAGCCTTTAGTTATCTCCACAACTTCCAACTTGTTTCAGGCTTAAATGAGCCTACTATCAACTAGTTGAATATAGATTTATGAATGATTAAACTTGTGAATGGTACCCATTCATAAGAATTGCACCAAATGAGAATGAATATGCAACAAATATATGTATTCCGAACTGTAACAATCAGGTAATTTATCAAGTAAACAGTAACTATTAACTGCAGGTTTTGATTGGCATAGGTAGTTGGTATATGTTCCTAATAATTCTAGATAAACTAAAAACTGAAATGAACTTGAGTTCTCTAAGAACAATGTCTGTTGACATGTCTAGGTAAGTAGGTACCTTCTCTAGTTAGTATTCATACTTTTGTTCTTAATCTGTGCCTATACTATTCAAAAAACCTCCAAATTATTTTTCTAAACCTTGATCATTTCATGCAAGAAAAGTGAGGTGCTCATTGAAAATTCTCCTGCAGTCTACAGGGATAGATACTGTTGACTCAACATAAAAGAGATATTGTGGGTCCAGTTGTGGGTACACCAGAGCTCAAATTCATTTTCCTATGGAATTCAATATCACCTTTGATGCCAGGTCTTTGGGCACATTTGACCAATATAGCAAATGTAAATTCCCAGGTACCAATGGATATATTTATCATAGATCAGCTTTGTTTACTTGCTTTTATTACATCTTGTTTTCAACATAATAACATGTGTTCAGTCCAGAAAGTAGGACTGTGGTGTAGGTTCCCCTTGGGAATCACAATAGTTCATACCCGAATTCATACCTCTTTAGATATGTTATGAAAATAATTATTCACAAATAATAACAATCCAATCAAAATACCTACATTACAGCAACATTCTGCGTTATTTTCCTATTCCTTTCCTTTTTTCATCGCAAATTATTATGCATTCCATATACCTTCCAATATAATTTATGTTTCATGTATTATTTTTGTTTAACTTATATCTAGGAATCTACCTACTTTTATCAGTTTATCAGTTCTGTTTCTGTTTTCTGTTCTGATTTCCATTCAAGGTCTTCCATGTTGTAATTTTAAATTCTATATTTCAATTATTTATCTTTTATTTCATGTTCTTTCTAATTCGGCTTTCTCCGTCTTCGCTCGGACGTCACAAATGACGGCGGACGGCGGACGGACGCTACGTCATACCTTTTCTTCCGGAGATCGATGACCAATGCGCGCGGAGAACAGAGTCACATGACCAGTAATAACCAATGACGACGAAACCAGATTTTAATAGACACAGAATTTCTGACAAGCGTAGAAAAAGTCTCATCAACAGCCGCCATTTTGCCTGTTTGAGATCGCGTAGAATTTGAGAGAAATTTCTTCGAATGTGGCATCGTGTGTAAATTAAAGAAGGACTATTTGTCAAAAAAAGTGCTTGATAACGATTTTGTGTTTCAATTTTGACAGTGATTACTAAAAACTAGTGAAAAAAGTGAGAACATTTGCTGTTATAAGTTTAAGATCATTGTGCGGTTCCGACGGAAGATGGTGAGAGGTAGTCGCAAAATATAGTCGACCAGTCGGATTCGTCGAAGTTCACAATGGCTGAAGGTTGACTTTTCGTTTGATGAATAATGTGCCTTGTGAGATGCATCCTTACTCGAAAACACGGTACATCGACTGTTTGGCTATGTTTCTTTCACTATTTTCATCGAAAATAAAGTATTTTTCACTTCATTTGGGATAAATAGTGGATAACAGCGCTGGTTTGGTCAGCCGTAGCATTGGGCCAGTGCTCGGCTCGGCTTTGGCTTGGTAAACACCAGAGTGCAGCGATTTTGCCATGGCCGATCACCTCGTAGACGGTCCCCCGAATGCCAAAAGGCAAAAGTTGGACCCTTTTCAGGGGCCATCGGATTCATCCGGTAAGTGAGGAATGACTTTTTTGGCCACAAAATAAAATATTATGTTTATTTACCAACAGTATGTGTCTAGAATGAAGGCGTTACTATTATTCTAATTTGACAACTAGGACAACTTTGGAGCGAAAATAAAACAATGGTTATCATGCCCTAAATTTTAATGTTTTTATTTCAACCAATTGATTTTCCATGCGTTTTCTGGTTTATCTCTACAAACAAAAATCTTTACAAAGAATCTGTTGAAATAATAGTAGGCAATAGGTATGTGTATTATTGATATTAATTTATCCATCAATGTAAAGTTATATAAATGATACCTATAGGTAAGTACTTTACCTGGATTAATACCTAATGATGGGATGAATAATGTAGTTTGTCTTCAGGTTTTTGAGTTTTTGCTATAGTTAATTTTCTGAATTCCTGACAACTTTGATTATCAATGATAATATTTTGTTCCCTGTTTCAACATGAGATGAGTTGTATAATGTTAATATTGTTTCAATAGTAATTATTATAATAACATAATATATCCATCATATTAGGAAGAAGAATTGATATAATGCATATGAAAAATCATGTTGTTATCTATTACAAGAACAAAGACATGCTGGAGATTGATCAGACACTGCTTAAAGTATCTGCTACAGAATCTCTTGTTGTTCAACATTTCAGAGCTTCACAATAGTAATTTGACTACCTGTTGCCTGACATTGTGGACACATTAGCAACAGTTGCTATTAATTATAAATATAGATAGGTCTAGCAACAAAATACCTGAGTTCATAGAAACCTACAGAATATTTTTTTTTAACAAAATGTCCCAAATAAATACATACATACCTAGGTAAGATGTCCAGTTCACTGAGGTCTTCTCTTTGGTCTATTTTTTGAATTTCAATGTTCTAAAGACAATGGTTCTAACCATTGTTATATTAAGAGCTATCATAATATTATGGATCTCTTAATCATATTATGCAAGATCATAATATAGGAAAATTATATAGTTATTTTTTATATTGATATACCTACCATGAACTAAAATGACTCAATTAATCCTGAGGGAAAGAAACACTCATGGTCATTTCAGTCCTGAGTGAATTCAATTATGTTTTGAATCTTTGGAAGAATTAGGTAACCTGTCCATCTAATTTTTTTGTCCAGGTGGTTGAAATCCTTCATGGACATTATATGGGTCTGATCCCCCATATGATAGTGTAGGAGTCCCCTGACTCTAGCCAGGGTATACCCACTATACACTCCACTTCACTTGTAAGCTCCTCTGAACAATGTCTCTAAGGACACTTGAGCCTGAAAACCTGTCTATTTTCATACTTCAACAAGAATTATTGGATCAATTTGTTAGTTTGCTTTCAAATAATGCAATTATTTAGTTACTTTGGTTCCTATGTTCAGGGAACATACATAAATCTTGCAAAAGTGCAAACATGTGTGTATAAATTTATTGGAGGTTTTGTATTCTTGGAATCATTCAACTAGTCTTTGTGTTCTCATTTCCATTTCATACATTCCTAGTTGTTCTTTTTATATTTCAGTCTACTAGACATATTGTTTCCTGCAACTAGATATTTAGTGAATTAATAATGCTGTATTCAGGTTTTGTTATATTGAACAGAAAATGATTCCATTTTAATTTTCTTACTGCTCAGATGTACTCTCCAATATGGATATGCTGGATCTCGAGAATGATCTTCCTGATGAGCTCATGTCATCTTCTCCATGGGGCATGCCTGACAACATGGGTAACAGCAAACCACCTGCTCAAGGTCCTGGTCCAGGTGGCTTACAAAATGGTATAGAAAATACTGATGGCAATAACCTGAGACAACAAATGCAACTCAATCATTTATTGCAACAGGTTAGTCAAAAGGTAATGTACAGTTTATAATCAAATAAAAAATAGTTTCATAGTTTTCATTCAATTATACAATCATTATACAATAACTTTATATAGGATTTGTTGGGATGCAGATAATATGAGACTCAAAAGATAACTCTTTTTACTTTTGATTAAGCTTTCCAAAATATTTTTATTTCTTCCTCAGTCTCAATGACTATGCCTCAATTAGTAATATTTATAAAGTAATTGATCAATAGGTGAAAATTGTCAAAAAAACATCAACTATTTTGAATCCAGTGGTCTTTTAATCTTCAAGCTTGAGTTGATCATTTCCTCTGTGATTTCTTTCATGTCCACCTAGATCTGGAATTTTCACCATCACATTATACCTTTGTTCAGATTGAAAATGATTTATTATACAGATTTTATCTGGTCAAAATGGTAACCTGAACAATCTCAATATTATATACTTATATAGGTACTGTCATAGCATTACAGTTTCTTTTATTATTTACAGAGTAATAAAGGTCTATCTGGAAATACCCTGGTATTGTCAACTGGCCCATTGGGTAACAAGAGCCCCAACCTTCAATCACCTCCCAATGTGTCTGTGGCCAAAGGGGGTGTAGTAGAATTACCACTGGGCAATCTGCCATCAAGCATATCTAACAACGTTGGACTCCAATCCATGGCAAACAATGGTAGTTCTGCACAAGTCATGAGTTCTATTCAAGGTTAGTGAAATGATTTTTTTTTATTTATTATCATTCATTTTTTTATTGGTAATGACTGAAATATGATTACCTACATATTGTGCTACTTTGGAAAAAGGTTCGAAGAAAAGCTGGAATTGGACTTTATTTGTGAAAATCAGAAGATTCAGCATAGTCAATGCTGGATGGTTTGCCACTATTAGTTTTCTCTTTTTTCATTTTTTCACACAACATTTTTCAATCATCTTAATAATAATGCCAGGAAGTGTATTTAGGTAATCTGTAAAATATTTATGAGCTATTAGAATATGAAAATATCATTATTAATGATTATTGTTAAATAACACTCAGGTAGATTCCATTCTTTGTACAATAATTGTTTGAGATGGTCTGTGCATTCTATCTTCAATTTATTGATCAACAAATTTAGGCACCAGCACAACAGAGCTCATCTCCAAAATAAGTGTATATTCCAAAATTAAGTATTTTTCACTTGGCTTTTTATATTTGAACTATAATTTTGTTCTCATTTTGAAAAGTGGATAGCTACTCAAGAGGTTTTACCAGAGTTCCAGCCTCAATAATTACTCTTCAACAAATCATTGTTTTGACCTTGCTGCTCCAGATATAATTTTTTTTGTCACAGCCTTTCCTCAATGAATTATTTGTCTATGTGTACTTAAGGCTTGAGTTGGTCATATTTTTATTATCCAGTTATAATGAAATATTTAGATTAACCATATGTTCTGGAAATACAGTTGAAATTGTTTTCCTCCTTATCTATCATGAACTGGATGATACAGAAAATTACTACAAAAACAAGTGTGGGAGTTTGATTTCTGCATTTCATTCATTGAATAGTCATTTGCTTATCACTGTCTATCAAATCAAAAATATTCAAGAATACACATGAAAATGGTAATAGTAGTAGTATTTTGTGATGTGTTGTATATCATCAGCGTGAAAGCAGCCACGTCTTCCAGCCACCACTCCGCTGAAATTTTACGGCGCGCTACAAAACACCAACGGTAGTCAATTATTAAAAACGTGGCTGGCCAGCCACAAAATATCTAAAGCCGTTCGAATTTACTGGACACAGATTTTTTCTATCTTATACAGTGTGTATGAATAAGATTGAATAAAAACACACAATATTTTGCTTGGCATGAATTTTCTCATATTATTCCACTCGTTATTCCACCTCTCAGACTCTTAGACGAAAAAAAACGATAAATTCCAAACTTCGAAAAATCATGACTCTCTTAAGGGAAGATATATCATTGATTATCGTTCGAGAATATACAGTGTGTATGATGGTAAATGAGATTTATATCATGCAATATTCAGTCGGACAACATTTTTCCCGAAATCGACTACTCAAACTCGCAAAGAAATCGATAAATCTGAAATTTTGAAAAATCATAGCTCTCTTAATAGACGATATATCATTGATTTTTCTTCGAGTATATACATTGTGTATGATGGTGAATAAGATCTATATCATGCAATATTTTGCCGGCCAAGATTTTTCCCGAAATCGACTACTCAAACTCGCGATAAATCTGAAACTTTGAAAAATCATAGCTCTCTTAATAGATGATATATCATTGATTTTTCTTTGAGAATATACAGTGTGTATGATGATGAATAAGATCTATATCATGCAATATTTTGCCGGCCAAGATTTTTCCTGAAATCGACTACTCAAACTCGCGAAGAAATCAATGAATCTGAAACTTTGAAAAATCATAGCTCTCTTAATAGACGATATATCATTGATTTTTCTTCGAGTATATACAGGGTGTATGATGGTGAATAAGATCTATATCATGTAATATTTTGCCGGCCAAGATTTTTCCCAAAATCGACTACTCAAACTCGCAATGAAATCGATAAATCTGAAACTTTGAAAAATCATAGCTCTCTTAATAGACGATATATCATTGATTTTTCTTCGAGGATCTACAGTGTGTATGATGGTGGATGAGATCTATATCATGCAATATTTTGCCGGCCAAGATTTTTCCCAAAATCGACTACTCAAACTCGCGATGAAATCGATAAATCTGAAACTTTGAAAAATCATAGCTCCCTTAATAGACCATGTATCATTGATTTTTCTTCGAGGATATACAGTGTGTATGATGATGAATAAGATCTATATCATGCAATATTTTGCCGGCCAAGTTTTTTCCCAAAATCGACTACTCAAACTCGCGAAGAAATTGATAAATCTGAAATTTTGAAAAATCATAGCTCACTTAATACACCACGTATCTTTGATTTTTCTTCGAGGATATACAGTATGTATGATGATGAATAAGATCTATATCATGCAATATTTTGCCGGCCAAGATTTTTCCCGAAATCGACTACTCAAACTCGCGATGAAATTGATAAATCTGAAACTTTGAAAAATCATAGCTCTCGTAATACACCATGTATCATTGATTTTTCTTCGAGGATATACAGTGTGTATGATGGTGAATAAGATCTATATCATGTAATATTTTGCCGGCCAAGATTTTTCCCAAAATCGACTACTCAAACTCGCGAAGAAATCGATGAATCTGAAACTTTGAAAAATCATAGCTCTCTTAACACATTCAATGCTGATGACCCGGATCCGTGTCACCTCTCACTTGTAGCCACGTGCGCATGACAAGGATCCGTGTCGCCCGTATTTGTTAACACATTGGCTGCGGATTCTTTTAAGCTTACTGAACCTGGGTGCTAATTTTTTTTTAATGTTTCTCTTTTATTATCTTGTTAATATAAATTCACTATTTTTCACGAACACTCGGTATATGTTGGTAAAAATAGTGAATTTATATTTACAACAAGATAATGAAAGAGAAACAACAAAAAAAATTAGCACACAGGTTCAGTAAGCTTAAAAGAATCCGCAGCCAATGTGTTAATAGACGATATATCATTGATTTTTCTTCGAGGATATACAGTGTGTATGATGGTGAATGAGATCTATATCATGCAATATTTTACCGGCCAAGATTTTTCCCGAAATCGACTACTCAAACTAGCGAAGAAATCGATGAATCTGAAACTTTGAAAAATCATAGCTCTCTTAATAGACGATATATCATTGATTTTTCTTCGAGGATATACAGTGTGTATGATGGTCAATGAGATCTATATCATGCAATATTTTGCCGGCCAAGATTTTTCCCAAAATCGACTACTCAAACTCGCGATGAAATCGATAAATCTGAAACAAAAATCATAGCTCTCTTAATAGACCATATATCACTGATTTTTCTTCGAGGATATACAGTGTGTATGATGATGAATGAGATCTATATCATGCAATATTTTGCCGGACCAGATTTTTCCCGAAATCGACTACTCAAACCCGCGAAAAATTTGATAAATCTGAAACTTTGAAAAATCATAGCTCTCTCAATAGACGATATATCATTGATTTTTTTTCGAGGATATACAGTGTGTATGATGGTGAATGAGATCTATATCATGCAATATTGTGCCGGCCAAGATTTTTCCCAAAATCGACCACTCAAACTCGCGATGAAATCGATAAATCTGAAACTTTGAAAAATCATAGCTCTCTTAATAGACCATATATCATCGATTTTTCTTCGAGGATATACAGTGTGTATGATGATGAATGAGATCTATATCATGCAATATTTTGCCGGACCAGATTTTTCCCGAAATCGACTACTCAAACTCGCGAAAAAATTGATAAATCTGAAACTTTGAAAAATCATAGCTCTCTTAATACACCATCTATCATTGATTTTTCTTCGAGGATATACAGTGTGTATGATGATGAATGAGATCTATATCATGTAATATTTTGCCGGCCAAGATTTTTCCCAAAATCGACTACTCAAACTCCCGAAGAAATTGATAAATCTGAAATTTTGAAAAATCATAGCTCACTCAATACACCATGTATCTTTGATTTTTCTTCGAGGATATACAGTATGTATGATGATGAATAAGATCTATATCATGCAATATTTTGCCGGCCAAGATTTTTCCTGAAATCGACTACTCAAACTCGCGATGAAATTGATAAATCTGAAACTTTGAAAAATCATAGCTCTCGTAATACACCATGTATCATTGATTTTTCTTCGAGGATATACAGTGTGTATGATGGTGAATAAGATCTATATCATGTAATATTTTGCCGGCCAAGATTTTTCCCAAAATCGACTACTCAAACTCGCGAAGAAATCGATGAATCTGAAACTTTGAAAAATCATAGCTCTCTTAATAGACGATATATCATTGATTTTTCTTCGAGGATATACAGTGTGTATGATGGTGAATGAGATCTATATCATGCAATATTTTGCCGGCCAAGATTTTTCCCGAAATCGACTACTCAAACTAGCGAAGAAATCGATGAATCTGAAACTTTGAAAAATCATAGCTCTCTTAATAGACGATATATCATTGATTTTTCTTCGAGGATATACAGTGTTTATGATGGTCAATGAGATCTATATCATGCAATATTTTGCCGGCCAAGATTTTTCCCAAAATCGACTACTCAAACTCGCGAAGAAATCGATGAATCTGAAACTTTGAAAAATCATAGCTCTCTTAATAGACGATATATCATTGATTTTTCTTCGAGGATATACAGTGTGTATGATGGTGAATGAGATCTATATCATGCAATATTTTGCCGGCCAAGATTTTTCCCGAAATCGACTACTCAAACTAGCGAAGAAATCGATGAATCTGAAACTTTGAAAAATCATAGCTCTCTTAATAGACGATATATCATTGATTTTTCTTCGAGGATATACAGTGTGTATGATGGTCAATGAGATCTATATCATGCAATATTTTGCCGGCAAAGATTTTTCCCAAAATCGACTACTCAAACTCGCGATGAAATCGATAAATCTGAAACAAAAATCATAGCTCTCTTAATAGACCATATATCACTGATTTTTCTTCGAGGATATACAGTGTGTATGATGATGAATGAGATCTATATCATGCAATATTTTGCCGGACCAGAT